AGAGGAGTGATAGTGTAACCGTTTTCGGCAGAACGGTTGTCGAGGGATTGACTTCATTTGTCTCTTTGACCAGTTCGTAGCTTGGTGCGGAGAATGGAATACATCACTGATGATGCTGACGAAACGTTTGAGAATGTATCAAGTTCATTTTCAGATGCTGGGAATCATGACAACTACTATGGCAAGCGACTTCGGACTAGGTGCGTTCTACATAGCCATCCTGACAACAAGACCAAGTTACGACAACTAGGTCAACCCATTTCTATAAATCGAAAGGAGATTGCGACCATACAGAGACCACAACATCTTGGTCTTCATATATTCATCTTGTTGGTACATATGGGCAAATGCAACCTAGTAGAATTCATAGGAAGCTCTTGGCCTAGTTTTGTCAAGTTTTTTTTCATTCTCTAATATACTTACCGCATTGATTTTTTCAAACATTTTTATAGCTTTAGATACCGTTTCCTTTCAGCCTGATTTCGCTTTCCATGTGTCTCTCTGCTGCTAATTCTGCCGGCCACTTAAGCAGCCATGGTGAAGTTGCCCCAAATCATGCTGGCATCACGTTTGCAATTAGCAACACCCTTGTGAGTTCGTTAAATCTTCCATTTCCAAAGTTACATTCCGTGCAGTCTTATGTCGAACCTCTTATTTACACTAAATATCTACGCAGTCTTAATTTTCATATGCTACTTTGAGTAGCATGACGATAGAATGAGAAATTCTGTATCAGTATCATGCTTAACTCCTGATCGGGTTTTGTTGAGTCTCGCTGTGCCCTTAGTTCCATCTCATAACTGTTTGTCCCATATTTTCTACATCAAATTGGCCGTACTGTCCACACAAAAATTATGCTATCTTGATTTTGATCTAGTTAAGGTACATAAAATGTGAGATTGATTTCCAGCTGAGGACGTATTTCATTCGACACAACAGGCCCTAAACTGAACCGAAGGGCGAGTATTCCTTCACTACGATCGTTCCTTTATCTATACACTAGAAAAAATAGTCACGTATTCATACTTATTCATTGCTGGCACTACACTTCTGCTAATCCCCCAACATCGTTTCTAATTTTATTCTCGAAGGCTACTATACCTGGTGTCTTATGCGGGCCATTAACTGCTGAGCTTGTGATGCAATCGAGTGGCCGCTGGTTTCCCGTATTCGTACTCGCCGGTTTCATCAATCTTGCCTCAGCACTAGCCTACATCAGCCAATCAGCGGCCCATCAAGTAGTGTGATCAACTGACTGCTTGTACATATGCGCGTTTATAAACGTATACATATACATTGCGAGCATGTATACGGCCAAATGTGTAAAAAACTAAATTAAATAGGCGAACTCGATTGGATTTCGATCTGGAGGCTTCCCATATTCCTAGTTGATCTTTTATCATATCTAGATGCTCGTGGAACCTATTTTTATCTGACTCCCATATATTTATGGAAATGCCTGACCTTGAACAGCGGGGGCACTGTGACACCCTGAACTTTAGACATTCCTTTTCTCTTATTTGTCTAAATTTCAAACTTCTTCCTGCCCTATGCTGCGCCCTCTTTTTATGTCCCCCATCAACTTGAAGCTTTTATACCACCGGCTGCCTTATTTTTCTCATCCACATCCTACCTTGCCTCATTAAAGAGCAAACGATTTCCAGACCTGAGGTCTAGACTTTCGGACTATTCATTCTACCCTCAAGTTCTTTTCTATTAATTTGGTCTACAATGGCTTTTCACCCAACATCGAGGTGAGTTAAATGTGGATTATCCTTGTAAAACTGCATGAAAGCATCCCATGATCTAGTCCTAAATTTTATTCATAATCGAATGTGAACATGCATGTATATATTCATA